CTTCGGAAGGGTGCCCCCCCCACCCTGTCGCGGCCTGCACCGCCCCGCACCCCGAGGAGCCGTGGGGTGGACTAGACACGTGTGTGCGTGACACGAGCGAGTAACATACTAACAGGAAGTACAAGTGGTGTTTAAAGCCCCCGGTGTTCCCTGGTTGTCGGGCGCCGCAGCCTGAGGGCCCGAGGGTTTCAGCGCCATCTGCCCACCTGGTGCGTCACTTGAATGACGTGATGAATGTCCTCGAGGCGAAATCTTGGTGTGAACCCAGCATAAATCTCACTGCCGGGCCCAGTGTGGGCAAGTGGGTCAGGGTTCTGATACGCGCGGCCAGTCTAGGAAGTTTGTGGTTCTGAGCTCCACGGGTAAGGATCATGGGGTCCTTCATCCTGGTCCGCCGTGGGCATCCTCCTGGGATCAGGGCCTCCTGCCTATTGAATGGGCCACAGAGACTGGGGCCGCATCACCGCCTCCTTTTGTATTCCAGGGGGCAAAGCTCAAGGCTCAGAAGCTGCCGGGCCCCCCAAAAAGAAGAGGAAGAGGGCACAGAAGAAACCCCGGGAGCAGAGGGAGAAGGCCGTGGAGTCCAAGGCCCAGGCCCTGGGGGAGAAGCCTCGGGCAGCTTCTCAGGCCAGGAAGCCCTTGGCAGCCAAGCAGGAGAGGGCCTCTGGCTCCTCCGGGGTCCCTGCAGGTGAGGAGCTCCAGGACGCCGGGCAGGGCCAGCTGGGATCCATGCAGACACGCTCCCCTCTAGTAAGAAAAGGTGGTGTCAGGCACACTGGGGTGACGGGGCCGGGGGGAGGCTCCCCTTTCCTAAGAGCGGGCTTTCATCGGGCAGAGCACAGAGGCCCTGTGGGCGGAGGGCATCCCAGGGAGTGCACGGTGGTTCCAGGCCAAATGGTGACCAGGACTTGGTGCAGGGCAAGGCTGTGAGGACCTAGAACAGCGTGGCTTTGAGCGTATCGCTGCCCTCAAGTATCTGCAGGGGCGTCCTGAAAGCTGACAGGGGAAGCACAGGCTGCAGGAGTTGGCGGAAAGGAAGGTGGGTTTGGCTTGACCCGCAGGAAGCTTTTGCCATCACACACGAGCATGTCCTGACCCTGAGGACCGGGGCCCATCCAGGCTGAGGAGGTGGTCGATGTATTGGAACTGCCTTGCAGATCCGCCACCGGCCACCAGGGGGGGGCAGTGCGTGGAGACCGGGCTTTGAAGCTGGGCCTGGGGAGGGAGCCTCTTCAGTCCTGATTCCTTCCTTGCAGATGGCGCGGCCACGGGGTCTGACTCCCTCTTTGCCCTGGATGTTCTGCGGCAGCGGCTGCACGAGAAGATCCAGGAGGCCCGGGGCCAGGTGGGTGGGGAGCGCGGGGGGCCAGGAGCAGCGTGTTTGCTGCCGTGGTTTCCCCCGCGGTCTGGAGAGGAGGTGCGCTCTGCGGGGCCGGCCCCCAGCTCTGCCGGCCACTGTGGGCCTGCGCCGCATTTCAGGGGCATGCGGGGCTGACAGGAGGGGCTCAGCGGCTCCGTCCTGCGAGAGGCCGGGTGTTCTTGTCTCGGGGAGCCTCCGTCCCCAGGGTCACCTGCCTTTTGCTGGCCTTGGAGAAGCTCGGCCCCTTCCCCCCCGGGACGCTGCCTGTGCTGAACACACACTGGGGGCACTTCCGGCCATCGGAATGTCCCGGCGGCGTGAGGTGGGCGGGGCCTGGGATGAGGTGACCTGCCCAGTGAGCCACAGCAAAGGTGGAGCCCGGACCAGCCTCAGCCTCTCTGAATGGCACCGTTCGCCCTCTGATCGGCCACCACTGCCCTGGCGCTGGGGACCTCCCCCGGGCCTCTTGCTGTGTGGGGACAGCCCCCCTTTCTTTCCCCAGTTCCTAGAGATGAGTCAGCTCCAGGCCCTGCCTTCCTGCCCTGGGGCCTGGGTAGTGGGTCTGGGCCCTCGTGTTGGCGGGGTGTGTGTGGGGGGCAGGGGGGTAGGCGGGTGACGCAGAGCTTGGGCCTGCCCCACAGAACATGCCGTGGTCGGCACAGGCGCCGATCCGAGCGCACGCGGGGGGCTGTGTGGCCTTGGCCCAGCCACCTGCCCCACGGGTCTGTACAGACGTGGACGGCATCTGCCGAGTCGGGTCTCGGGAAGATTTGGTGAAACTGAGTCTGTAAAGCACCCCGGTCATTGCCTGGGACCTGGAAGCTGTGGTTCTTACTTGGGGGTCCCTTGTCCCTCTGGGGTCGGTCGCATTTTGGGTGACAGGTCATCTCAGAGCCGGACAGGCAGTGGGCCCTTGTCCTGCACAGGGGTTTCCTCCCGAGCCCCCTGCCCTGATCCCACGCGCGGGGCTGGGGCCGGAAGTTGGGAGAACCCCGAACAGGCTTTCCCTCTCCAGGGCGGCACCAAGGAGCTGTCCCCCGCCGCTTTGGAGAAAAGGCAGCGGCGGAAACAGGAGCGGGACCGGAAGAAGAGGAAGCGGAGGGAGCTGAGGGCGAAGGAGAAGGCGGCGAAGGCGGCGAAG